TCAATAATGCACAATCTATCATTCCAGGGCTGTGCTCTAGAAGCACCACAGGCAACTAACTTTTGCCTTTCGGCAACTGGAAAAACATACTTTATTTACTTTTTATTTTATTCTTTTCTATCCGTTTGTAAGGCACATTTGAAAACTTATGCTGAATTTGCACCACACAAATCTTTCATGATTTACCGCACCCAAATTAACAATTAGCAAATCTGAAGCTGTGTCTGCTGTCCTAACATCCTGCAATGCCAAGTTACTGACCTGATATAACTCATAATCATATCTATAACAAAATTCACAATCCTGAGTGGTTCTCTGCACGTCCATTTGTCACGTAATCAGCACGCGATCAAGTGAGTGTCCAATTACAGGTATCCAATTTGAACATTGTGCAATTGGATTCAGGGTCTGTAATTGGATACGCACGTGATTCGCATGTCAATTACCTGTGCTTTAATGGCTTCCTTCACAACGTTTCCTTCAGTTTTCAAAACTTATGAAAAGCGCTATGGATGAATCATTAAAAGAAGCTCTCAAAAGACATTGATAAAGTCCAAAATTTGTTATAGATACAATTAATTAGTAATTGGACCTCGTATTGTTTAATTCAGGAAGAAATTGTGCTCGTAATTTCAAATCAGCCTNAGGCAACTAACTTTTGCCTTTGGGCAACTGGAAAAACATACTTTATTTACTTTTTATTTTATTCTTTTCTATCTGTTTGTAAGGCACATTTGAAAACTTATGTTGAATTTGCACTACACAAATCTTTCATGATTTACTGCACCCAAATTCACAATTGGCAAATCTGAAGCTGTGTCTGCTGTCCTAACATCCTGCGATGCCAAGTCACTGACCTGATATAGCTCATAATCATATCTATAACAAAATTCACAATCCTGAGGGGTTCTCCACGCGTCGATTTGTCACGTAATCAGCATGCGATCACACAAGTGTCCAATTACAGGTATCCAATTTGAACATTGTGCAATTGGATTCAGGGTCTGTAATTGGATACGCACGTGATTCGCATGTCAATTACCTGTGCTTTAATGGCTTCCTTCACAACGTTTCCTTCAGTTTTCAAAACTTACGAAAAGCACTATGGACGAATCATTAAAAGAAGCTCTCAAAAGACATTGTTAAAGTCCAAAATTTGTTATAGATACGATTAATTAGTAATTGGACCTCGTATTGTTTAATTCAGGAAGAAATTGTGCTCGTAATTTCAAATCAGCCTTGGCCTATAAAATGGAATGCTAGTCCATCGCAGGGTTAACCCCAGCATTAAATTACATAGGTAATCATTCATACACCTGGGTGGAGAGAGGCACTGTGATAGCAAAGTGTCTCGCCCCAAAACACAACACAATGACCCCAGCCAGGGCTTGAACCTAGACTACTCGATCTGGAGTCCAATGCGGTAATTTTTAGGTCACCATATCTTGCCATATTAACAAAGGCTTATCCCAACAAGTAGAATTCAGCAGACTCTACCATGACTTTAACATGTATTTGCAGCAAACTGCATTTGACAATTTGTAGGTTCATACCAGAACATCGCAAGGTAGAACATAATGATATAGAACCCAAAACTGGTCCCATAGTCTGCAAATGAACATTGTACTGTACATCGCTAAGCATACTTAAATGACAAAAAAATTGTTACACAAAAACTCTGCAACAGGAAGAAGTGATAAGTGATCCTTCTTCAAGAGCTATAACCACACATAAACCCACAAAGGAGGGGTTATTTTCAGGGGCCGACATACTCTCAGTATCTTACTAAATTGTGCTTCCAGATTAGAACCAACATACCTTTAGAATAAACTGGTTGCTGCCCAGTCAGTTGTTCCAGCACTTTAGCAGCTCTTGTAAGTCGGTCACCACTCTCCCCAACACAGATGTTCAAACACAACTTTCGGATGCGGAGCTCCCGCATAACATTTTGTTTCTGGGATTTCTCCCCCGACTGAAAGACACCAAATAATAGCTTCTGTTACCTTACATGGTCTGAGTGAAGCAGTGGTTTCAATTTGTTAGATGTCAGAGATCTAGGGTTAAAC